ACGAACTCAAAAACGGTAAATTTGGGTGATCGGTTGAGAATAGCGGATTCCTGACACCAGATTCGTGCTCAGCGTGTCAGACTTGGTCCCCTAGACCCATTTTTGGGCCAAATCGATGGCCCCTGGAGTTTGTCAATCTGTAGATGGACGAACTCAAAAACGGTAAATTTGGGTGATCGGTTGAGAATAGCGGATTTCTGACACCAGATTCGTGCTCAGCGTGTCACACTTGGTCCCTTAGACCCATTTTTGGGCGAAATCGATGGCCCCTGGAGTTTGTCAATCTGTAGATGGACGAACTCAAAAAACGGTAAATTTGGGTGATCGGTTGAGAATAGCGGATTTCTGACACCAGATTCGTGCTCAGCGTGTCACACTTGGTCCCCTAGACCCATTTTTGGGCCAAATCGATGGCCCCTGGAGTTTGTCAATCTGTAGATGGACGAACCCAAAAACGATAAATTTGGGTGATCGGTTGAGAATAGCGGATTCCTGACACCAGATTCGTGCTCAGCGTGTCAGACTTGGTCCCCTAGACCCATTTTTGGGCCAAATCGATGGCCCCTGGAGTTTGTCAATCTGTAGATGGACGAACTCAAAAACGGTAAATTTGGGTGATCGGTTGAGAATAGCGGATTTCTGACACCAGATTCGTGCTAAGCGTGTCACACTTGATCCCTTAGACCCATTTTTGGGCGAAATCGATGGCCCCTGGAGTTTGTCAATCTGTAGATAGACGAACTAAAAAAAAACGGTAAATTTGGGCGATCGGTTGGGAATAGCGGATTTCTGACACCAGATTCGTGCTCAGCGTGTCACACTTGGTCCCCTAGACCCATTTTTGGGCCAAATCGATGGCCCCTGGAGTTTGTCAATCTGTAGATGGACGAACTCAAAAACGATAAATTTGGGTGATCGGTTGAGAAAAGCGGATTTCTGACACCAGATTCGTGCTCAGCGTGTCAGACTTGGTCCCCTGGACCCATTTTTGGGCCAAATCGATGGCCCCTGGAGTTTGTCAATCTGTAGATGGACGAACTCAAAAACGGTAAATTTGGGTGATCGGTTGAGAATAGCGGATTTCTGACACCAGATTCGTGCTCAGCGTGTCAGACTTGGTCCCTGGGGCAAGTTTGGGCGAAATCGACGCACCCTGAATATCAAACTGTAGTTGGATAATCAAAGTGCTGCTAAATTGACAGCAGTAAGCAAAGTGTATAAGGACTTTCACATTATATTTTGTGATGGTGTGGTAATAGGAGGTTTTGAGCTCCAAGTGGAGTTAAGGAATTGCCAAAGAAATGAAAACTCTGCATGGGCCGGAAATCTGCAGCCTGCACTTCTATAAACTCTTCATAAGAGGTTCGTGGCAGGGGGCATTTTGGGGAGCGATTATGGAGGTGTTGGTAAGTAGGTAGGTACCCAACCTAATTGGCTTGATGAGAACTGAAACTGAAAGTCAAATGAATTGTGAAATTGCTTTACCTATCCTATCTGATCACTTCTACTTATTATTTTTTTTATTTTCCATTCATTTTGATTGATAAAGAACAACATTGAAAGATGCTAACATGCAGGTAACTACCTACCTAGTTCTAATGTAAATAGGTACCTAATAATTTCCTTCAAAAGAATATAGGGCTCTTCAATGTACTGGAGATTTAGTAATTGAAGGCATCTCACTTCACTTTGAACATTACCAAGGTATAACTTCCCTAAACTGCATGACAAATTTTCAATTTCCTTGTTGTAACACCAATACCACAAACATTCATCTGGGCACAAGGCTCACAACATCAAATTATTCATGTTTTAGAGACAGGTACCTATACAGCAAAAATGCAACAGAGATATGTGATTATTTTCAACATAGGCTTTGTGTTCAGTTGTGTATATAATAATTTTGTGGGTGGAAAATGTGTCATGAATTGTCTACAGGTCTGTGTAGAATTGTAATTAATATGATTATAGAAAAAGGAATGGTCGGTTAAGTAGTCAACATGTTTACTCAATAACAAGATAAGCTGGCATGGAGTTTGCTCATGAGTTTGCTCAAAAACCTTTCAGTTAGTGTGGGAAGCATAGCAATTTGAAGCATATGCTTATAAAACTGATTTGTAATGGGGTTTGTGAAGTTCTCCATAAATTTCACACCTATATAGCAATGTACCTACCTAATGCATTGCATTACTTTAAAAAGAGGGAGACCATACAAGTTGTCAGGTAGGTAGGCTTTGACATTGATTTCAAGATTTCAAGGTGATCTGTGCTTTTTGCTTATAACTTGTCCTCATTCTCTGACTAAAGGAGTGGCAATACAATCTGACTTGTTCTATTTTCCTCTTGCTTTGCCATTTTTGACATAATCCTTGCCCAGGCTATATGTTGGTATGATGAATGTCAATCAGATGACATATTTCAAATATTACAGTCATGATTTCAGTTGAATTTGCCTAACTTTATTTAAGCAATATAAGATTACACATTGCATAGCTATAACAGCAATATTTGAGCCACCACTGGCATAGAAATTAATAGGTTGCAAAACATTACTCAGCAAGAAGAAATCAGTCATTGACAGTGGAGAAAACACATCTAGACTTGACAACAAATTACAATTGATTATTCTTCTACCATTCATGTTGACATAAGTAATAATTCAAATGGATACTTAGTGCATTTTTCTAAAGATTTTAAGCACATGAGATCCATCCAAAGGCAGACTCGGAACAAAGGCTGTGTTATAAACAAGGATATTGCACCTTTTTGGTATTTTAACATGTTGTTATATTCCGACATCCTAAGAAAAATAATATGGTAATCTGCCCTGCTTCATTTGATACGTATCGATGAGTTATTGGATGTTGCGGGAATGCAGTTAGTTTTCCGGCAGTTGTCTCCAGCAGCGACAAAATGGCCGCTTACTTTCTGTCAAACATTTGCTTTCATATGACTAAGTACATTAATTTCACTTAGTCTAACTTTGTCTAGCAAATCTCCAGTTTTACTTCGGAAAAACCGGCAGCGTGTTCCACATTGGTGACCCCGCCAGGCGAGGCATTTCCGTCGGCCGCCGTCGATGTCCTTCGGTCATATAACCCCCAATAAAACTAGCGCGTCGAACGATCGGCAACATGGATGGTCTCACACCATCCATGGCAGGGACCGACCTCACAGAGCCACGCAGAAAACAGGAATATCGGATTTATCTGCCTCTAAACTGTAATGTATGAATGCGTCGTGAAAATTTTACAAGACAGCTGAGGTTTGCTAAGCAAGAAAAAATAGACCAGGATCTGTATTAGCGAAGAGATTAGCGATGCACGTGAAATGTGTATAGATTGCAGTATACCTAGATATAGTCAGCGATGGATTATAAAAGGATTTAAAGCCGCTTCTTAAAACCTACAGTCAAAACGTTTTCTGAACGTTTGTGGTCCTCAATATGATAGGTATTCCATAGCAATTTAATGGGCTTCGTCCCATTAGCAAATATTGCAAAATCGTCCTCAAATAATGTTTTCTTACCTAAATGAAGTAATGTTGATCCAGGAAAAAACACACACTCCTTAAAGTTTCATATTCCTAAACAGAAACACTGATGTGCACCGTACACTGCAGCGTTACGTCACTTCACCTTCAGCCCGCCAAGTAGTAACTGCCCCACTAAACGGGAGAGGGACGCTATGGGACGGCAGATGGACGCCCGTCTGGTCCATGTGGAACTGAACCCTCATTGGATGAGAGGAATTAATTGAGCGTCCCGGTGGTTTTATTAGGGTAGTTCTTGACTTTCCAGTGTTTCCAGACACAGTCAACAACCAGACCGCGCCCCACTCTAGTCTATTTATACACCACCAGTGTCCAGTATGCATTTCAGGTGGAGGTGTACCAAGTCCTGCCTCGCACTTTGCCCAAATCAGCGCATACTGTATGTCTGTCGGCTTCTTAAAAAATGACGATATATCTGCGGATAGCTTCAGAAATAAAAACACTTCAGGAATAGCGTTTACGTCCTGTAAATATTAATCACTGTAATGTAAATAACCAGCTTTACTTGAAAGTATAGATATGTTGGGATATACCTAAGGATGATCGGTGAGACAAACCGGAGCCATCGGAGACCGTGTAGGAGACAGGCTGGGCTATTTGTGCACCTCTGTATCTGCTAATGCAGTTTCTTGGCTTACACAGTACGCACACAAGCATACATACTTCCTGCCCTTGGTTATCCCTCACTTGAATGAAAATTTTGCTATAATAACCATTCCAAGCAGTTAACAGGTTTTAGTGCAGTGCCAAGTCGGAACCGTTCAGCGCCGCCAGTCTCCCAGGCGGCGCGTAACGGCCGCCGCCGGCCGCGCGCCGCCGCTCTGGCAGGGTGTTTGACTTCATATCTCTGTTGCTAGAAAAGTTGTGGACCGATTTACATGATTCTTGCATGAAAAGATCCGCCATTCAATTCTTAGCAGATAACGACAATTTGACGTTAATTGCACGATCCACTGCCCATATTGTGGTACTGCCATCTATTGACAAGGCTGGCGAACTAAAGCCGGGCGGCTATTTCCACTTTTGACACACCATGCAACAAAACTTGGCAATGATTTTCGAAGCTCGACCATGTAGTATATATGTTCGAGACATATGATGATTAAGCTATCGTTAATAGTTACCCATTCCGATTATGTAAAACGGTATGCGTTTTAGATGCAGCAACAACATAAACAGCACCCCATATGGCATACACTCATCATTTCATTTACTAACTCACTCACTCATTCACCCGCTCACTCGCTCACTCACTCACTCACTCACTCACTCACTCACTCACTCACTCACTCGCCCACCCACTCACTCACCCACTCACTCACTCACTCACTCACTCACTCACTCACTCACTCACTCGCCCACTTACTCATTCACTTACTCACTCTCTCACTCACTCACACACACACGGCACCTCACTCAGTTCGCACTCCACAGACTAAGTAGCTCACCTCACGGTTGGCCTGCTTGTTGGAGAAGGCGTTTTTAAGCACGTCCTTCACTGTAGCATCATCCTGTTTGCTGGAGTCGAGAAGCGTTACCAGCTCCTCCGGCTGGACAAACTTGGATAGCTTTCCCAGTCGGCTGAGTGAGAGAAGAGGGATTCGCCAGCGTGTGATTTCCAGTCAGGATAGTAACTAATTTTGTTTTGCTTGTTTTCTTTTCGGGAATAACTATATTTACCGTGCTTTTGAATCATTCACAGAACACTTAATTATCAATAGTTCAAACTTTTTCGATGAAAACAATGTGCTATTACCTTGCAACGAAGCTTTTGACTTCGGCAGGGCCGGCGGTAGGAGATTTCCCCTTGAACGCAGACATCATCTTCACAGCAATGAGTCTTCCTTGGGCCGGCTCGATTTTCTGAAAACACCAATTAGCGTGAGTACATGGAAAAACCAATGAAAAAACGAAATCTCGGCCCCAGTCAGAATGATAACGGGCACAAAAAAAACAGTCGTACGCACTGACCAATGCTGAGTAGTAACAACTATCAAAGTCGGCTACTTTCCTAACGAATGGTCAGCAGTATTGTAATGCCGAACGCAGTTTTGATTATTGATTTATAAGCATGTTCATTGTTAATTAAAAACGATAAATCCTATGAATCACTTTATGATTGACCACTGACCAGTTTGCTGAAAGGATCATATTCACGAAACATACGAATCACATATGTGGTGCATTGGGCCTTGGGTGGGTGTGATAGGTCAAGTTTTAATTCAATTTTATTCGATTAAGAGGATTAAAGATAAAAATAAAATGCTCCAAATGTGTTTGTCTATTTAGATGAGATGCGTAAGAGTATCTAATCCAAAAAACACGCACCCAAAAATCCATGTGTGTCAACTGTCAAGGCATGTCACGTAAAGCATGTTGCTGGTAATCACAATGTAACATCTCCTTCGTAAAAGGTGTTTAGGAATTAGGGTATACAGTAAACACACAACTTTATATTTCATCATATCCATATTATTTATAGCACTGTTTAATCTAAGCAAAAAAACATTGGTAAAAATCAGCAGATGTTTGCAAAAAGGTGTCGCTTGCTCTCTTCCCATGTTTCGAAAAGGCACATAGGTATGCACAACCGGAGCAGGCAGCATCTGTGAAATCAGCATGAAGGCGAACACCAATATTTACCTGGCCAGCGAAATCGTCCCCCTGTCATAAGCCAAAACAGTTACGTACAGCATACAACTCACATGATCAGACAACATGATCATGACCCGACGTCAGGTAAAGAACTTATCCATATTGACTCATAGGATCAGTACTCATTAACTTTAGAACATCTTGCTAGGAAAAACAAACGGCATTATAGACTTTCCCATTGTTCAGTATAGCCACGTCTCAGCTGCGCTTTGGACTCGCACGAACGAGACATGGTTCAAACTCTAAACTGTTGATAATATGTTCCGTTCTTGTTAAATACTATAAACGAAACGACTGAACGACAATCAATAATTGTGATAATGATACTTTTATGCCTGCTGCCTATGGAATAAATAAATAATATGTTATCTATATAATGTTATTATTTCAATGCGCAAATCCGATTATGTTAGAAAGTCGTTCCAAACACAAAGGAAACCCGCAAATGATTGTTATTGTATTATTTTGGATTGTAAAAAATAATACTGTGGGGTAGACGAATGACTTCCTGAGTCATTTTGGGTGGTGCTTAGCAAGCTCGAGGTGCTTGGAGGGGCATCCGGCAAAGTGTTTCTGCACAAAGGTAATCGTGATAATAGACATATTCTGCATTATCTTATACAGGCTCACAAAATAAGGAACACAACTCGTTCTTCTACTGCTCAAAAATATATTCTTGCCTGGAAAAAGTTCAACGGCTTTGATTGATATCGAACAAAACCAAAACTACTATTAGGTAAAATATAATAAGCACTTCCCCACCGGCAAAAAAATGTGCCGGGAAAAATTGTGGGAATATGAAAAATCTAGCATTCAGAGGCGTGTTTGAATCATATTACCTTGACTGGAGGAGACCCTATGTCCTGTCGCAAGTAAAGCTCAGTCATCACCGGACAAAGTATTATGCATACCTACTTCAGAACATCTGTTCGTTACCGCTAAAAAGATTAACAACCTAGATTAAAAAGATTAAGATGAAAAGCCCGAGTGAAACTTCGATGAAGATGAAATGCATGCTTAGTCGAAAAAATCGTCCCCGCCTAATCCAATTTCTATATAGTTACTTCCAAGCGTTATGAAAAATATGATGCGTTCCAAAGCTTAGTTCAGCATTCATCAGCTACTAAAATTGTGCCCTCAACCCCCAATCTTTACAGCCTTTTTCTACTTGTCATTGCATCATGGCACTTTCAAATCCTCGTTGACTACGTGTAAGTAACGAGAACAGAACACAAGTCACATGGGACGCCGGTGAAAACAGGGCGCCGGAGGGCATATTAGTCACGTGATATTTTGAAGTTCTCCCCCTTCGTGGGCCTTTCACATGCTAAACGTCACGTGTGAATTTCACGAACCTTGATCAAATCGCCCCAGGCGCCCTGTTTTCACCGTCGTCCGTCACATGCATGTGGACTTGTGTCATATCTGTCCACTATTCGCAATATACCTGCCTGTCGTCAGTCCCTCGACCGCCATCTTTCGCCAGTCACTCACCGTATCCGCAGAGGCAGCTGAATTGAAAGCATCGTAGAGCGAATCGTTCTTGATCATGTTGAGCGTTTTCAGCGGCATCGTGCCCAGGGAGCTCTTGATGTCGCCAGTAATGTCGGCAGATGTCCATTCTCCAACTGACTTAGCCATCATCTTCTTGTGCAAGATGAAGTCCTGAGGAGGAGGCGAACACAGTTAGAGAGAGAGAGAGAGAAGAGAGAGAGAGAGAGAGAGAGAGAGAGAGAGAGAGAGAGGGAGAGAGAGAGAGAGAGAGAGAGGGAGAGAGAGAGATGGAGAGAGAGAGATGGAGAGAGAGAGAGAGAGAGAGAGAGAGAGAGAGAGAGAGAGAGAGAGAGAGAGAGAGAGAGAGAGAGAGAGAGAGAGAGAGAGAGAGAGAGAGAGAGAGAGAGAGAGAGAGACGTGGAAGCGCAGTTTCACTTCAGGTAGGCACAACTCTTTCATCACGAATAGTGACGCGTGCGGTCCAATGCATTAGCTCATACAATAATAATAAGGATGAAGATGTTAGGAAATGGCCTTATTCTCATGATACCATGAAATGACAGTGAAATAAGTCCAAAAAGTGTTATGAAATATTTCGACTTGCGTCGTCTGCTTATCCAAAATGGAGGGAGACAACAATCGAGACACCAGTTGGAAGACGACGCAAGTCGAACTATATCATAATACTTTTTGGACTTAATTCACTATCATTTCATCGTATCATGAGCAAAAGGTCATTTTCTAACATCATAATCTCCATAATAATTATGTTCAAACTAGCCACAGCTCACCTTCAACAATAGTAATACCTAACATCTACTATACTATTTGTGAAATGAAACTCTGTCTGTCTGTGTTTCTGTTTGCACCGTGTAGAGGGGTGCTTTGACGTCGTGCACAGGTCAAACGGTGCGGTCGAGAGGGCTGAAATTTTCGCAGGGTGTTGATGACGTCACGCGCACGTGCAGTGTCGAGGTTCGAGTCCCGGGGTGGATGGTTCGCACGTGGCACGCGCTGGAAAAAGGTGCATTTTCTCCAAATTTGCTCGGCTCTCAAGCTTGCTTCAAGGCATCGGCAGCCGGGTTCAATCGCCTTTGACAATAAAATGCATGACGATCGGCGGCGGGTGCCTCTCATTTGCAGATTGGCCAAGTTATTTATTTTGATAAACAGAGGCGAATGAAGGTGTTGATTTTCGTTGAATGGGGACAGTTTTCAATGCGCTGACACAAATGCACCGCGTTTGCCGCAGTGCGCCACATTTGCCCACATGCGCTATTTTTGACGCAATTCGCACAACTTTGTCAAATATGGTCCGATTAAGGTGCAATTCGGTGGAAGGATGCATGGCAAAACGACAGGAATAAATGCACCACTTTTGTCGCAATGCGCCACATTTGTCACTAGGCGCCATTTCGACCAAATACGATTAAGAATAATGGAATGACACGAGTAGGAGAAGGGTTAGGAAATATTTTTTAGTTAATCAGTTAATCTGATAGTCTGACCTCACATGACCCAGTGGTACTGGTAGGTGTAGGTGTAGTGGTAGTGGTAGTGGTATTGGTAGTAGTATTGGTAGGGGTAGTGGTAGGGGTAGTGGTAGGGGTAGTGGTGGGGTATTAGTAGTGGTAGGGGTAGTAGTAGGGGTAGTGGTAGGGGTAGTAGGGGTAGTGGTAGTGGTAGGGGTAGGGGTAGGGTAGGGGTAGGGGTAGGGGTAGTGGTAGGGGTAGTGGTAGGAGTAGTGGTAGGGGTAGGGGTAGGGGTAGTGGTATGGGTATTAGTAGTGGTAGGGGTAGTAGTAGGGGTAGTAGTAGTGATAGGGTAGTAGTAGGGGTAGGGGTAGTGGTAGGGGTAGTGGTAGGGGTAGTGGTAGGAGTAGTGGTATGGGTAGAAGTAGTAGAAGTATGGCCCAGGCCGATCCAATGTGACGTGGTAACCTATACGACCTGGCCTGACCGAAGGTGACACGGCCTGACCCAGTGTGACCAAGGATGACCAGCTTGACCTGACTTGACTCCGTATGACCCAAATTTCATCCAACTAAACCCTCAGAATAGTTATTATGTTCAAAAATTTCCTCCGCACGTTCCCGTCCATATTTCTGCTTCCAGACGACAGATCAATTTCAATCAAATACCATTCGAAAGCAAATTGGCTGCTGCCGCATTTCTGGCTACGCCGCGAAGCAAGTGGCGCAGCCGCTTGTCTACTATACTATTTGTTGAATGAAACTCTGTCTGTCTGTGTGTCTGTTTGCACCGTGCAGAGGGATGCTTTGACGCCGTGCACAGGTCAAACGGTGCGGTCGATTGGGCTGAAATTTTCGCAGCGTGTTGATGACGTCACGCGCACGTGCAGTGGCGTGTTTCGAGTCTCGAGGGGTGGATGGTTTGCACGTGGCACGCGCTGGAAAAGTGCGCATTTCCTCGGAATTTTGCTCATTCTTCAAGGCATCGGCAGCCGGGTTTGATGGACTTTGCAACTAAAATGCATGACGATCGGCGGCGGGTGCCTCTCATTTGCAGATTGGCAAGTTATTTATTTTGATAAACAGAGGCGAATGAAGGTGTTGATTTTCAGTAAATAAAGACAGTTTTCAATGCGCTTAACCAAATGCACCGCGTTTGCCCCAGTGCGCCACATTTGTCCACATGCGCTATTTTTGCCGCAAATCGCACAACTTTGTCAAATATGGTCCGATAAAGGTGCAATTCGCTGGAAGGATGCATGGCAAAACGACAGGAATAAACGCACCACTTTTGTCGCAATGTGCCACATTCGTCACAAGGCGCCATTTCCACCAAATATTATTAAGAATAATGGAATTACACGAGTAGGAGCACGGATAGGAACGCTTTTTTTAGTTCATCAGTTTATATGATAACATGTGACCTCACATGACCCAGTGGTAGTGGTGGTAGTGTAGTGGTAGTAGTATTGGTAGGAGTGGCGGTAGGGGTAGTGGTAGTATTAGGGGTAGTGGTAGGGGTAGTGTTAGGGGTAGTAGTAGGGGTAGTGGTAGGGGTAGTGGTAGGGGTAGTGGTAGGGGTAGTGGTAGGGGTAGGGGTAGGGGCAGTAGTAGGGGTAGTGGTAGGGGTAGTAGTAGGGGCAGTGATAGTGGTAGGGGTAGTAGTAGGGGTAGTGGTAGGGGTAGTAGTAGGGGTAGTGGTAGGGGTAGTGGTAGTGGTAGGGGTAGGGGTAGAGGCAGTAGTAGGGGTAGTGGTAGGGGTAGTAGTAGGGGCAGTGGTAGTGGTAGTGGTAGGGGTAGGGGTAGTGGTAGGGGTAGTGGTAGGAGTAGGGGTATGGGTAGTGGTAGGGGTAGTGGTAGGAGTAGTTGTATGGGTAGAAGTAGTAGAAGTGTGGTACAGGCCGATCCAATGTGACGTGGTGACCTATACGACATGGCCTGACCGAAGGTGACCTGGCTTGACCCAGTGTGACCAGAGATGGCCAGCTTGACCTGACTTGACCCCGCATGACACAAATTTCATCCAACTAAGCCCTCAGAATAGGTATGTTCAAAATTTTCCTCTTCACGTTTCCGTCCATATCTCTGGTTCCAGACGACAGATCAATTTAAATCAAACACCATTCGAAAGCAAATTGGCTGGTGCCGCATTTTCTGGCTACGCCGCGAAGCAAGTGGCGCAGCCGCTTGTCTATATTACTATTTGAGGAAGGCGTAGTTTCTGTCTATTACGAAGGTCGCGACATGGTGCTACGTAGCGCGGGTTACAGGTCACACCGTTGCACCTACCGCGCTGAAATTTGCGCAAGTTATAGAACAAGGATGGACAACGTGCCTTTGAGCGGTCTCGGCTCGATCGGATCGATAGCGAGCGCGTGGCGCGTGCCCAAAAAGTGCAAATTCGCGTCATAGACTTTACATGTATAAATCGGCTGGCAAAAACGGGCGAAAATGGCTAAATTTGCCCGACACGGGTCCGTTCCCCGTGCAATATCTCGGTAGCCGTGCGCCCGATCGGCACGGGGAAAACAGCATCGTGTAGAGAATCGAACGGGCAATCGAATAGTGTGCGGTGCAGGGGTGGCACGCGCCACGTGCAAGTGTGAGGGCAATTTCATTTCAAAAAGTGCCATTTCAAACGGATTTTGGATTTTATTTTATTTTCCCGTGACCATCAGACTGAGAGAGTTGAAACAACGTCAATTGCCAAGAGAAATGTACCGCCTCTCATGGAAAAATTGTGGACAGCTAATTGATCAAAAACAATGTGGAAAAATCGCTGAATTAAAATGGTATTTGTCCATAATGTGCCACTAAAAAGATACACGGGATTTGCTGCTTAACCTGATACGCTTGATAATTGAAAATGCTATCATTAGAAAGAGCATTCAATTCTCTCCAAGATCCAATCATCACGTTTGCATGACAAGCAACAGTATTCTTAAAAATATAAATGTTTTAAACCTCTGCAAAACGATTTTTAGCGAAAATTATCTACGCCTTTCATTTGTCTTAAAACTACGCACCTCAATTATAAAGCACATTTGACAGATTCTGAAGTGGAAAGCATGCTTATCAGACACGGGCACCTCGATGCGGTGGATATTTTTTCCACAAACCAAAACGTTTAGCCGTCAAAAAGCAATCGACCGAAATGGATAGATAACCCAACCGACACAAGAACAACCGAACACCCGCCGATCGAAAATATCCCTTTTCGCGTTGCGGAGCACGCGGGTCACCCTAGTGTTTTCTATTTCTGCCTCACAATAAAGTCACTATGCAAAAAGCCTACGCAATCAGCAGCGACAACACCACACATGTATAAGCAAATAGCCAAAACCCGCGCTGTCAGTCAAACTGCTAAACGGTCTCAGAGCCCACGTCTACTTTCTTAGTACTTACAGCCCAAGCCTTTTGCATCGTAGGTTTCATTCTCATCATTTCGTTTCCAGAGGGAATGGTTCTGAAACGTAGAAAAGCATACGTCAAATTACTTACTAAAGAAACGATAGCTTCTAAATCAACGGACTTTTCTATTGATGACGACACATAAGAGAAAATAAGATGCATTAAGTGTTCTGCCTCTGTCCACAAAAACGGTCGTCCCCTCCAATGAGAACCCGTATTTCCCGGTGAGGAAAGTTACCTTACTTAGATTTTCTGGATTTACAGAAACTTGAAATTTCTGGACTTGGGAAAATAAGACGGCAAAGTGCAAACTCAAGCTCGCCACAAGCGATGACTAAAAGCGTTGCATTGATAAATTTATGAATAACCCGCGCCCTGCTGGGGGTCCTGGATTTCCACGCCCTGCTGGGGGGGGGGGGGGGGTGTTTGAACACCCCCCCTTGTAACTCGGCTCCTGGGCCACGTAGCGATACGCGGAAGGCGGCGTTCGAAAGAGCGTAAAAAATAATGACGAAATCACTTCGGTCAATTTTTTGGTCAGGTCAAAGGTCAGGTCACCAGAGGTCATTGAAGGCAAAATTTCGCGCATTTCCAGGTCGAATGTCGAAAATTTCCAAGAAGCCAACGCATAACTCGGGAACCAATAGAGCTGCAGCGCCGCGGAAAAGTGCATTCGATAGCCCTATTAACGCCCTTTCTGAGTAATTCTCTCAGATTTGACCTAACGTCAACGGTTTTGCCTCCAGGGGGCAAAAACTGCAAAAATAGCCGATTTTTTCGAAAACAGTTTTTCTGCAATAACTTTTGACCCAAGCCTTGTACGAGCTTACTTTTACCGGCATCGTGTTCCTCTCGTCAAGACGCATCGAATGAACTATGACTTGACCTTGAAAGGTCAACTTGAAAATTTGACCTCAGGTCAAGGTCATGACCTGACCGGAAAGGGTCATGTTGCATATCAGTCGATCCGTATCGTCGAGCTGAACACATCTAAGGCGTTTTCATCGCTCTAGCATGCCTCTATCAAAAGTTATTTGCGAAAAACTGTTAGATACCATTCGTGACCTAAGATGACCTCAGGGCATAAACAAGGGTCACGGACACCATTTTCAAGCTCAGTGTGTCTAAACCACTTGTAATTCGGTGTTTGGGAGTGTTTATAACGTCTTTCATCCAAAAGAGGCGCATTTCAATTTTCTCCCATTGACTTATAATGGGGAGGTCGCAAAATTGACCTGACCTTAGGTCATCGATATCAAAATTCTGAGATATACATTTTGTACATGCTATTGCTCTTAGCAATCGCTGAAAGTTTCAAAGCGATCGGTCACTCGGTGTAGCTATGACAGACATTGAAACATTTTATGAGGTGAGGTCACTTCAAGTGACCTGGTGACCTGACCTTGAATGACCTTGGTCTGAAATTTTCACAACATGTGTAGAATTGACGTATGATAAGGTGTACCAAAAACGGCGGCGCTCCGCGCCGCCGTTTTTGAGATATTCGCGAAAAACCACAAGGGGGGGTGTTCAAACACCCCCCCCCCCAGCAGGGCGCGGGATAAGAATAGCTGAGGGATAGCACTTCATTTCTCCGCCAAGGCACTGGTTGATTTTATCTGACTGCTTGTAACTGCAGGCCTTGATTGCATCTGGTAACTATTTCCATCGTCCATAATAGCGCACTCATATCAGATCGCCGTGCCGTATCGCTAGCTCCAAATGCCGTGAACATGGATTGTTTCTAGCAGCGCGACCAATGTCGCTGCACCGGCCAAAATCGACCGCCTCGGCCGCTGAACATATTTGCTATGGAGACCAGGATAACAGTGATCCTATGGACTGTGTCAGGGGGTGACCAGGCAACCACATGGAAACACTGTTGAAGCATGACGGTATACGGCGTGTCCGGGTACAGCATGAATCTACATTGGCTCTAAAACACACTAGGTATGTGTGGCCTAATGACACACACACACACACACACACACACAAGGTGTCCCCGTTTTTTGTCCCCCGATGTCACAAAAGCCAGGGTTTTCTAAGCCGTAAACACTTGTTTCAGTAGCTGTCTGACTAGATCTAGCATTTTCACCTATTGCGTGCTACCTGTAAAGCCTCCAAGTCTGATGCCTCCATTACCCTTCAGTTTTTCTAACTTTCTACTTCTACTTTTTTCTATCATATTTTTGAAAATCGACCGATTAGCCAAATTCTCCGTCCATTTAATCACGCCATTCAAAACACAAACCAACAACATGTTCTCTTCTATCCGTAAAACGTCAACTCTTTCAATATCTACTACCTTCACCTCTGACTTATTATCAAAACCAAAACCGATCTAGTCCCACTCATTTCAATCCGCTCACTCCATGCTACTTCTACCGCTTTTGGTTGTCAGTGTTTTTACTATCTGTCATTTGCCATCACGACCAAAGCAATGGAGCGGCTGCACGTCGATATATCGATAAGATCGATTGCAGGCGGTATAGACTGAAGAAAACTGAGAAATGGACGCGAACGTCGGCGGGTCTTTGATGAATCTTACGTAGCGTTCAATAACCTTTGACTTGCCAAGCCGGTTGGCTACGTGAAATTAAGAAAATATAACTACAGCTCTTACGTGATTGATTAGAACTGTATGTTGAAATATGGATAGTTTACAATGCAACTCATTGCCCGCCCAGACAACTGATTTACATTTGTTTCGAAGAAAACTAGGTATCCAGCCGCAAAACGACCTGAAATTCGTCACGCCCATCTAACCCAGCAAGCAAAGAAACAAACAGGAAACACCGTAGCTCACTCACATTTTGTTGATGAGGGCCGTGTTGTTGAGCCTGGTCAGCCTGGCTGGCGGGTAGTGCCTCAGGATGCCCTTTGCCTTCATGCTGTCTACCTCGGCTTCTGTCCAGTTCCTCGGGTCACCGAGCTTGTCCACCACGCTCATCACAACGCGCTCCTTGGCCCTCTGCAGAGAAATGCCAAAAAAAAAAATGATCCCCACAGTGAGGCCAATTATTAGAGACATAGAGATATTATAGAGTTCAGTGGGTATATCACATGTCTTTGCCATTATTACAAAAATAGAAGATGTTTAGTAAGCTGATGCCAAGAAGTCAAGGTAATAAAGGCGCGTCTAGAAAATGTGTCGATAATTAAGAAACGCCAAGTGAAAACTTCAGAATTTGTACGTCTGTCTGTCTGTCTGTCTGTCTGTCTGTCTGTCTGTCTGTCTGTCTGTCTGTCTGTCTGTCTGTCTGTCTGTCTGTCTGATATCCCGTTTCTCACCTCATTGCTGCCTAGTTTGGCGTTAACTTCAGCGATCTTTCCGATGAGGTCCATTTTGTTCTCTACGTTCATCGTTTCCAGCACGCGGCGCATGCTCTGGCCGTCGTTAAGAGCCTTGAAACGCTCAAACACCTTCTCTTGGATGGTTTGATTCAGACCAGCTAGGTTGTTCCTCTGTTGGAAAAAATCAGAACCGCTGTCCAGTGGCGGATCCAGGGCGGGGGGCAAAATGGGCATTTGCCCCCCCCCAAACGGCAGAATTTTAACATTACGCCTATGGACGATGCATGGAAAGAATCGATAAATTGTTATGGTTTGCCCCCCCCCCCCAAAAAAAAAACTCTGAGCTGGATCCACCTCTGCCGCTGTCGCTGTCTTTTACATCACTTACAGGTTATATTTTCACAAATGCAAAATCACATGAGCGATATTTGCAGCGAGCAGAGCCAAAAGTGACCATTGTAATTTCAAATCAGGTCAAACTATGGCAAAAGTTCTGCAGGCTAGCCAATAGCCTGACAAGCCCGACAACACAACAGCTCACTTTAGCCACATCAAAGAGAGATAACTTACAGGCATCAGCATCCGGAGCTGACCCTTGTTGAGCTGGCTGATCTCTTCCTGAGTGAGACCTTTGACGTTTCCGCCGAAAATTTTAGTTTTGACATCCTCAGGTAGTTTGCTGAACTTATTCTTGACTCTGAAAATGATAGCTGAGTTCAAATAGGTATACCGTGATAAAACAATTGTTTCCTAGCAGATGTAGTATACACACACCCAATATTTGTCGGATACATTAATTTTTGCGGTACGATGGCAGATTAGTGACAAATCCAGCTAAGTGAGGAAAAACGAGGCATTATATCCAATTTATGGAATATCAGTGCACCGGTGATCTGCCTGGCAGTGCATGAACATTTGCCGACGCTGTTTTCCATGAAGAAGCAAGGACTTTTTGGCGTTTATCAAGCAAAAACTTACTTATCTGGCCATCCAGCTGCATTGGGTAGAGGGGAAACGGATTATTAGCGTCACTCGTACAGACACAGATTGCAAGACATACTAAATACATACAGCTGTTTTATGTAATGGTTTGTCCTTATCCAACATTATAAATTATGAATGAATGATAGCCATTCCCACAAATTTGTCGCCTGACAAACCGAAACCTAACCTAATATCACA